AAAAATTAACTAATTATAGATAAATAACAATAATATTAAATATTATTATTTTATTATTAATTTTATTATATATTATTGTTATTTAAAATAATAAAAAATGAAATGACATTTATTAAAATGATAAAATAATAAATAAAATAATGTTATAAATATGTATTTAAGTATTTAATTATCTGATTTTAATCTGATATTTATTAAATTAAAATGGATGAGTTAATAAATAAGAACACTCGTTTCTTTAAAGAAGAAATAGAAACACTTCCAAATATTCAACAATCAATTGGTGATATTAATAAACATTATCAATATTATTTAGGAAGTATTAAAAATGAAATATTTGAAATACAATGAAACATATTTAGAAGCTATTAAAAGAGGAGAAGGAATAATTGATAGGATTGATGAAACAGAAAGAAGAAGAAAAAAAGTAATAGAAAAAAGTCAAGAAACAAATAAAACAATAGAAATAATAAAGAATCAAATGAACAAAATAATAGAAGAATGTAATTCAGATGAAGAAATACTAAGTAAAACACGAAATGAAATAATCAATACAATCATTTCGAAAGAAGAAAAGGTCATGAAAAAAAAAATATTCAGAACACCAGAAGAAAAAGATAAAATCACAGAATCATTTAACAAAAAGAAAGAAGAATGGAAAACATATTATAGTGATTATTTAGAGAGGAAGAAAAGAAGAAAAAGAGAGAATGATAAAAGAAGAAAGATTAAGAGTAATGAAAGGAATGAATACAATTGAAGAAATGAAACAAATAGAAGAATGGACAAATAGAAAAGTATCCAATATATTATTTGATTCAGATAATGATAATTGGAATGAAGATACATCAGTATTTGATCAAAGAATAATAAATAAAGAACATATAATAATTATTATTGAAGATGAAGATGGAAATAAATTTGGAGGATATGTTAATGTGAAAATTGATAAAGTTAGTAGTTATATAAATGATTCAAAATCATTTTTATTTTCATTAAAATCAAAAAGAAGAATACAAGGAATGATGAAATTTGATATTAAAGAACCACGACATGCATTTTATTTATTTAATCAATCAAGTAATTATTTGTTTGTATTTGGATATGCTCCTATTTTCCCTGTATTTGTATTTGCATTTGGATGTGATATTACTGTTAAGAAAGAAAATAATAAAACAAAATCATTTTGTTATCAAGAATCCTTTGAATATAAAGGAATATCAAATGCACTTTGTGGAAAACAATATCCAGATAATTTCACACCACAACGAATTATTGTAATTGAAATGAAATGATTTTATTCATTATTATTTATTTGAAAACTAAAAACTAAAAAAGAATATAAAATAAAATCAATAAATGAATATGAACAGCCAT